AGTGGATCACTAAGTTAAGTATTTCTATGTGACGACAAAATGTATGACAGTTCTGACAGCGTGGACAAGATTCTCTATCACCACTTAGGCTCATAGCGGTGGTTCTCGGTCAGAGAATATCCCACAGAAACTCTATTACTTTATTATAAAAGTATAGTTGGGTTTATTATTGCATTTCTTTAATGAAATAAGTTGTTTACACTATTTTACAAGCTTTTATATATATAGGTAGAATGGTCTGCTGGACCCTTATACTTGTATGAGTTTGTATTATGGATACTTTTACTTAGCCTTTTGTCATATGGACCCTTGAATCTAACCAAGATGAGATTTTAAAACCCGTGTGACCATGTGTGTAGGTCATTCTCCTTCACATAAATGACATGTCATATCCATGTCAGATATATTAATTCAATGTCATAATTATTTCATAACTATTTTTAAAACATATTAATCAAAATTATTCAAAAAAAAATCTTAATTTAGTTTTTAGAGTATTATTTCACCATTTTCTATTCAACTTTTTCTTCAACTTCATTACTTCAATTTCATATTTTGCATTTTCATATGTTTTTTTGTATTTTGTTTGATCTATTGATATGTTTGTTTAATGATAGAAAAAGTGGTGAAGATCTTGGTGAGTTATAATGGAAAAAGATGAAACCTCCATACATCCAATTTTCCAATTCACTGCCAAAATCCATGGAGAAATTTCATGCCAAATCAACTTTTGTTTTCCTTCTGCATAATCATTTTCAGCAATTTCATCCCAGACACAACCTTTTCTTTTCTTCTATAGAATCTATTAACATCAATTTACCAAATTGGAACACTAAATCACAATAAATCGGAGCACTAAATTACAATCTCCGAAGACTACTATTTCACAGTGGAATAAGGGAAAGAGAGAGGCAGCAACAATCAATGTAGAGAAGAACGAGGTGATGAAGGTGCGAAGTGATGGCGGTGAAGAGGTTTTTTGGTCAGATCTAGTGGTGGAATGACTTAGATTGTTGATTTTGTAAAAGTTGGAGAAGGAAAGGAAAATGGTGATGGTGTGCGGTGAATATGTAGACATGTGAGGGAGAGAGTTTATTGATTTCGTCGACAAAAATGGTGACAACGGTGATAATAGATTTTTCATAAATTTTGAATGAAAATGGTTATAAAAGATGGAATATTTGGTGAACAAGAATTTTTTTTATTTACTTATTTTTTTAAAATTTATTTATTATATAATTTTCTTTTTATTAACCCAAAAATGTCATTCACACGCCTTATGGAGTGTAAAATCACAAATTTTCGCCTACTCAACAATTTTAAAGCCACATAAGCGTGGTCAATGATCAAAAGAGTCAGATATATTGTATTTTATTGAATTTAATGGTCCAAATGAAAAATAAATAAGTAGCCGATGTTGGTGTCGCTTATGTAGACGATGCTGGTGTCGCTTTTAATAGCTCATCTTCTTCATCATTCCCAAAACCATAGAATAGGGAGTTGTTAGGGGTTCCTGCGAAAATTGTGTTGTGTTAGTGAATTAACTAAGTTGGGTGGTAAATGATGAAAGTGAAACTGTTCTAAAATTGAATATGACAAAAAATGTGGGATATAATATTACCAACAAAGCTAAATAACGAACGCTTCACAGAAAGTCAACTGATTGATTTCCATGAGAAGAAGTTAACTAATTCATTTCATTCTCCCTATTGAGGGAACTTGAATCGACTGAGAATAAAATACTTCATTAAACAAAAGTCACAAAATCAAGTGAAGAGGTTCCTATAATTAGACAATTTAAGGTCTGTTAAAAACTGAAAAACAACTGGTTGTCATTGTCCTGTATATATATAGGAAAATAACACATGAGATAAACTTCATTTTGCTCATTCATGGAGTTGTATTTAGTACCCCTACGAAATATGATAATTCACTGTTAGTCAATAATGTGGGTTGGCTATACTATAACAAAAGAAAGCATGAGCAAGTATATAGAGGAAAACAACTGGACATATAATTTTACTAAATAAGGGCTATCTTAAAGTAAAACTATATAGAAACTACTAAGAGTCAATCCTCGTGATCCACTATTATTGAACACATCAGTCAACATTTATCACTATATAATATGTACAAATATTGAAGATCTTACTTCAGTCAAGGCTTGACAGGAATGAAAAATTGTGTTGATTAACTTTTCCCCTAAAAAAGAAGGTCAATAAAACACCTAACATATATACTGGTTATGAATAGCACATATTATGTATTATTAAGTAGATATATTAGTTGAACAAAGGTGAAGGAGAAGGAGAAATCCAACAGAATTGAGTCGAAGATGAATAAGAAAATATTGTGCAGCACAAAGAATTCACACAACAAAAATCAGAAAAATTGAATTTTTGTTGATGAAGTTAGCGGAGTCAATGTAGACAGTTAGCATCTGAATCAAAAATTGTAAAATCCAAAAAAGAAAAAATAATAAAATTTGCTCTTAAAGCCTAATTCCATTATCTGTAAGCACCATATCTTACACAAACATAGCAAAGTTTTAAAAGAGTGGTGAACAAAATATTATTGAACAAGATACACAAAAGGATGTAAGATGGTTTAGCAAAAGTATTTTACATCCACGACAAGAAAAATACATTATTATTTTTGGTTATTTTGGATGGAGAGCACTGCAAGCTGGTATGACCGAAAAGCACTCGGGAGGAACTAAAAACTAGATGAAAAATAGAAAAGCTGATATATTCTCAAATACTCAATGAACTGTAATTATTGAGAAATATCATCTACCATGTCTCCTACACCAAAAAATTAATTCTAAAGGCATCTATTGTTTATATAAGACTTGAATTTTTTTAGTTTCAAAAACATCTCTCTTTTGTTTCTAACCAGATAGTCAAACAGATGCAAACAGAGGCATGGCATACCCGATTTTCTTCAATTTTTTGTATGACTTTCTTGTTTGTACAAACATTTTTAGCAAGTCCCTCACACTATATGAAATCACCAATTTACTGCACTACAGTTAAGGAAGAGGTCCTAATTTTTTTTTGTATGGCTGTAGTAGAGGAGGCCAAAAAGTAGTGATCCTTTGATTAAAACAAACTAAAAGCATTGCAAAGGAAGGATGTTTTTCACTTAACAACATCGAAAAACATTCAATTGCAGATGATTCTACCCTTAATTTTTAAAAAATATCACATATATCTAAATACTTTGAACTGTTAATCATTGTGATTTATAGTTTGATTTTCAATAATAAATGTGAAAATCAAATGCAGACTGACCTTTTACAGTTTTTTTGGTGTGGGTGGTTCAAATTTCAGAGTTGTACTTGAAGAAAAAGAAGCATTAGGTCTTTTCGTCACCTCCATCTCACTTATCTCCAAAGGCTTTATCTTTTTGGAATTCCTATTAATAGTGCTTGGCACAGTATGTGGCTTTCCATGTAGAAAATAATGGAGTAAGTTGCATTTGTGTTATTTGAGGTGCCCCAAGATGACTTCGTTAGGTGAATTTAAAATAGTTTGTTGGACAACATCTTATGGACATGATTAACAGACAAGGATTTGCCTCTATAAATGTAGAGAGTGAGAAGAAATTCTTTAGATCTAAGCATTTATGTTGTGACAATAGATGTAGAGGCAGGAATAAGAGATCACATTCACACATGTTATGTTAAATATGTCTTATGCCGTCATGGAGAATAGTTTTTCTCCCAATTCACCAGAGATAGATGTTGTGACTGTAGCAGTACCGTCAGTAAGATCAATTTGAAAGATACACCTGAAATCATGATAAGTTTAAAATGTGAGTGTTTCTCACTTTTTCTTTTAATAGACTATTTGAGATTTGATTAAAGGTGCTTTTATCTTTTATTATCAAAGATGCAATTTATGATTCATTCTTAATACATATCAATAATGTTTATTGTTATGTGTGTGATCTATCAGTTAGAGAAGTTGAAGGATAGTCTTCTCCCAAAAGTTGTGTTCATTAACTTCTCACCTAAAAAAGGAGGTCAATAAAACATCTAACATATATACGGATTATCAATAGCACATAGTGTGCATTCTTAAGTAGATATATTAATTGAACAAAAACGAAGGAGAAAGAGAAGTACCAAGGAATTAATGTTGTTTTCCAATTGCATTTTAGACAATGAAAATCCTTTCTATGTTTTGTGCGCTTCTTTTGTTTGCATCGTGAGCATTCAGTACACAAAACTCTTGCTATTCATCCAATCAATTGGAAAATATCATATACATAATACGTGTTAAGTTACTAATGAATAAAAAAATTTGTTTTAATTATTTATTGAATATGCGTAGTCTTAAATTATCATCTTGAAGTATGACTTACAGAAGCAGGTGATGAAATTTCTTCAATAGAGCTAACTTGGTCGCCAGCAGGAGTCAATACCACGAGAGGGGTAGATGAGCTTGTGGAGGTTTTGTCCGACGCACGACTTAACAACATTGATTTGTTTTATTTTTCCCTATTGTTACAAAAGATAGTGTGTTTAGTAGATTTTTTAAATCCAAATTAAAGCTAGATAATAGGCGGAGCGTGAGTACCATTTGGTGAGTTCTACTGCCTATGGGTAATTAGGAGCAACACGTATTGTTGAATTGTACCTTCTCTACAATGACAACCCTGTACGACAAAAAGCTTGCATAAAGTTTTGTTATTATCTAAATAATGTTGGTAAAAAATTCAATGCATGTACCTTGAAAAGTAGAGATGCCTATACTCCTGCCAAGGATTACAATAAGATCCATCTATTTTTGGATTCCATTTTCTTCTATTTCTCCGAAATCCTCCTATAGAGTGAGGAGAAACTTATTTTTCTTGAGAACGTGAAGAGAGAAGGATAAGTACCATGATGATTACCAAATGATAAGTGATGGTACGATTAAACAAAAAATACAAGTGTTTACTTATTCAAAATATTTTCATTAAATGGGAAAATATAAGGCAAAATGTTGTGCTTACTAATTGTCACAAATGGTAATTTCTCCTGCGTATTTTTGAGGACCACAACAAAGAACGATTGTCAGTATATCTAGGTATATAATATATAATGGAATGGGTTGTAAAAGTGTCTATCAGTAAGCAAGTATAATTTAGTGTTGTAGAAGCTATTAGGAAGGATATACCTATTTCAAAAGCAGAATCAAGAATCATGTGAGGAATGCGGTCAAAGTTTGTGATATTCAGCTTGGTTGGTGGTGGAAGTGGTTTCTCAACTCCATTAGATGGTGTGATATGTTCAATTACTGGTTCTTTGTCAAGAGCCCAGTAAAGTTTATGTATCGGCTTCCCATATGAAGTTTGAGAAACTTTCATGAGTATAAGAATTTCTGCATACTGTTCAATTTCATCGGCATACAATACTGCCTTTATCTGGCATGCCTGAAAGTAAGAGTTGTAGAGAGCTTATAATAACTCAAAGTTTTTACTAACAGTAAAACAAAGCAAAAATATACATATGAGGTAAATATAGATATAGCAGAATATTCATGACACAAAATGTAATGAACTCATCTATTCATCTTCCAAAATCAAATTTTGAAATCTACATTTGTTGTCAGGGCTTTCTCTCTGGCGTCCGATTTCCATAATTTGGACTTTGCAAATTCAATATCGCGTTGCTAATGCTATTTGATCAATGTTCAATCTTAGTTCCATGTTTCTTAGAAATATTTGACCAAGCAGTAGTATCTGCAAGATAGCATTACTATTGAATGAAAGTCCTTTCATTTATGTGGTTGCATGAGCATGAACAATTAATTTAGGAAGAACATAATTGTCCTCCACATACTAAAAGTCAGAAAATGTAATGAAAGTACTATACAAATATTTTTAATGAAATTCAGAACATGCAAGAACATAATTATCCCTAACTTAGTGAATCATTAGAAAATATAATATCCTCAAATCTACCAGCTAGTAATAACATTGGAATTTTAAGTGAAATTTACAAATCTAATTTTGATTTTCCCCTTTGGTAACAACCAAAATCTGCAAGAAAAATTGAAAATGGGAAGAGGGAAAACATGAAAGAGGGAAAAAAACCTGACAAAGGGAGCAATAGTTTTTTTTCTACAATGGAAAGGATGAAAAATTTGTGCTTTATGAGTAATGAATAACGAGTAATAATGTGTGTGTGTGTGTGTGCATATATATATATATATATATATATATATATATATATATATATATATATATATATATATATATATATATATATAGTACAATACAAAGAAGACACGTTATATTATATAAAAGTAAATGTGTCTTCTTTAAAATTGATGTATTCGGCAGCCAATGAGATTGTGCCAAAAAGGAGAAAAAAATTATTGCATGTGATAGTAAAATTTAATGACGTATGATAAAAAAAATAGTTATTACATTTGACAGTAGAATTTGAATAGCCTTTGGTCCAAGTTTCTTTTTGAGTTCCATATTTTTATTAGATATATAAATTTTGATGTTCTGTCATTTGTGTTTGTGGATGAGAGTGAGATGGTGTAATTATCTATATTTATTTTTGTTTTTTGTATTATTAAATGAATTGACTGAGGAAGAGCACAGAAGGAATTGAGACTTCATAAATATTGAGTATAAAATAAAAGTGGTGGAAATCACTTATCTTTGTTCAAGTATATGTATTGTATATTTATCTTGAATGATTTCTATGAAGTTGCCTCTTAGGATTTTTTGACAATTTGTTTGAGAATTAAGAGTTATTGGAATATCTTTTCCATTGTTTAAAAGGTAGAGTGGATGTGCAAGATTTACAATAACTTCAACAGGTGAATTGTAACTTTTTAAAGAATTTACCTCACTTATGAATCTACCGTATGAGGTGGTACTTCCCACTCTATATTTTTTCAACAAATAAAATGCTAGCAAATGACTTTTAATTCACTAAAAAAAGAAAACCTGTAAAAGTTGATAATTATGTTTTAGATATTTGTATAAGCTATATAATATGTAACTATAAAAACAAACTGAAAAGCAGTATATTATTTTTGAGGTAACAAAATGTTCGTGCAGTAAGTTTTAACTCCGGTCAATGTTTAATTTTACAGTTGGTATGTATATCCATAAAACATTCATCTTTGTCAAAACAAATAAATTACTACTTGAGACAAAAGACATCTTCTTACCTAGACATTACAAAATTAATAAAACTTATTCTTTAAATTTCGTAGGACTAGACAATTTGCTAATGAACTAGGTCAGATATAATTAGTGATTGACATGTTCAAATTTGTCCAATGTTTTACTGATGTTGTTACTGCATTCTTCAAAATTATGAAGCCTAAGTGTCGAAGCAAAAAAGCAACCAAGAAAAAAGTAAAAATAGTTTTATATTCATTTAAGTACATAGCATGCAAATTCCCTGAAAACTAACTCATCGTGAATTCTATAACCTGAAAAGAGCATTTGCATATACATGTGAGAAAGAGATTATCTATTTGTGCCATCAAACAACATTGATCATATTTCAATCTTGCATCATGATAGAACCAATCATTCATTCATGTTGAAGTACCAATAATTTATAGTCTATGTGCAATAGTTGCCTTATAGGGGTTTTTTATTATTATAATAAGCACATAAGATCATACCATGAATCAAACGAACAAATATATAAATTACATATCAATAAATGTGTTATCAAATTTGTCCTCTGACATAGAGCAGTAACAATGAACAGAATTCTTGAACGAATATATTTATCCTAGACCCAAGTCCTAACCTTAATGAAGAAGTGAAGATCACAAAATTTTTAGAAGTTAGATGTTGGAAGTTTGAATTGTGTCACATACACATTTGAAGAGGCCAACGACATCTAAAGGAATGTAATATCACATGTTTCATTTGGTAAAACATGAATTATCAAATGATGAGAACTATTGTGTCTATGAAGGAACTTACAATTTCTAGACTAAGCTCCATCGTTGCTGAGCGTAAGCGGTCTATAGTTACCTACTCTGAGTATGGGCAAACAAAAAATGTAACATCAGCAAGTGTTATTCAAAAAATATAGTCTTGCAAAAACCAAGTAAGATCATCGACATATAGTAATGAGACCCAAGTTTTCAACAATCAATAGACAGAGCTCAATGTCAGAGTTGTGTTATAGTGATAACATATGAAAAGATTATAGAAATGAAGAAGTGGAGACGGAACACTATTTTTTTCATACAAATTCTGATCTTACTATTGTCAACAAAGAGAAAAGAAGAAAATTAGAAAGCATTTAAATTAATATGCTAATAAATTAACATAATCATGTTGACATGCAAATTTATATAGAACTGAATAATATGGAATTAATACATTCAAATACTAAAATTATATCAAAACCAAATAATCCTACAAAGAGATCTTGACAATTGTCAAAATTAGAGCCTATAACAACAACCCGAATAAATTAGAATTGACTACACAATCTCATGGTTCATCTTACTCCATTAAACGTTTGATTCCCTCTAATTTTCATAAATAGTAGGAGAAGGGGTGGGGGGGATTCCTATTCATATATTAATTTTTTAATTGCTTCGTAGGGATATGGGAAGAGAATTTTGCTTTTCAAAGTTCACCCAATTTTAAAATTTTAAATAAACATTTCAAACTCCTATACAAAAATATATAAAAGCAATAAAGCATAAAGAGAAGGAACTTACTCATAGTATAAAACTCACAAGACAAATTAATAGTGGAAGAACTTGCATCAACAATGTTAGAATTTTTTGGTCTTGTATTTTTATGTTAAAGCATAGTGCAGGAAGTAGAAGGACCTAAAACAACTCTTTGAATATTAGAATCAGGGACTTAAATCATCATGAAGAATAATACAATAAGGCATCCCAAGTGAATAAAAAACTTGAGGAGACGTTCACAGAGAGATATAACGTCTTAAGCTTCTCTGTTAGCCCTTTTTTAAGCCTATCCTGATTTCACAATTCTATTAGTCAAGGTTTTTTAAAGAAAGTCGGCATTTGGCATCGTTTTTATACCTTTTCGGCTTTCAAAAAAATGCTTTAAAAAGGTTTTATGTTTATGAACACTTTCTAAACTAAAAAATAACTTTAAGTCAGAAGTAACATACAAATAAGTCTATCAAAAAACCCACGTAGTCTTTCTTAGATAAAACTGCAGGACACAGAAATTGAGGCTCACATTTGGGCATTGGCAGAGGGAGTTGCTAAATTAGTTGTCCATTGTATTCTATTTGTGTTTCTTTTCCTGTAATATTGTGTTAACAGATTTAGTTATTGTTGGGTATGTAGCAAGAATTAATGGGATATAGAGGGAAGGAGAGGAATTTGAAAAGTGGAGAACTTAAAAAGTTGGGAACTTGAAAAGTCCTCTAATGCTTTAATGAAATAAGCAATTGTCCCTCATCGGTAATGGAAATAAAAATCGAAGAGTTTAAATAAATAAACACTCCTATTAATTCTTAAAAGGGTTGGAAAGAGGGACCCCCCTCGCTCCGTCGTCGTCGTCGCTCTCTTCGGCTTCATCTTCTGATCAAGAGATTTTTTTGGACAAAATTTATTTTAATTATTTATTTAATTAATTAAATGACCAAAAAATATTTTCAATTAATTAGTTGATAACAGAAGTTAACCGAAATATTTTCAACTTTTTAGTTAACCCGACCCGACTCGGATTCAGCACGCCTGACCCGTTTTAATTTCCGTTATATTTAAAATTTATGCCATGATTGTTGGAAAGGTTGCAACTTTCAGGAACACTCAATACCATTTGAAAGTTTGCAACCTATCATTTATGGTCGTGTCAATTCTGAAAGGGTTGCAACCTTTCAGAATATATTCTTCTTTCCTATAAATACCACTCAGTCTTCAGAATATTTTCCAACGAATTTTCTGTTCTTCCTTCTTCTTCTAAATACATTTTTCTTTGTGTACTTTCCTGTTGTGGATTGATTTGCTGACAGTAGAGTTTTTGGTATTTACACTCTACTGATTAAGATCATTTTACCCTGGGAGTTTATATTCCTAATCAAACCTCGGATACTACAGGGGAATGATTTCCTTAAGGGGACACTATGAGTTCAGTTGACTTTATCTTCTTCCAAACTAAAAGATTGTTACAGTTTCTGGTACGTTTGTTTTAACTATTTTCTGAAATATATTTCTCTTCATCTTGCTTACTGATTCGATAAATTTCAGTTTTTTCGTGTTTCTTAATAATTTATTATAATCAGTAATTTATGGTTTTAATAACACATATTGGTAAAAAATCTTAAGGAAATTATTTTTTAAAATCTGTGTTTCTGGTGGAGACAAAAATCTTCGTTATTTTATACTCCTTTAATTCTGCAATTATAGTTTATTGTTTACTTAGATTGTGTCAATTTTGTTTTACATTCTGATTCTGAAATGGCAAACACTGGTGTTACAGTGGCTATTGGTGCACCAACCTTAACTCTTGTAAACAAGCAGAAAACCAGGTAAATTCGCAGGTGTGAATTTCAAAGGATGGAAGCAACGAGTATTTTTTTGGCTTACCACTCTTGGTCTGTAGAAATTTACAAGTGAAGATACTATAGTTCCTGCTGATGATATGCCAGACAGGGAGAAATTCATGATTATTGAAGTATGGAAACAGTCAGATTTCCTATGTAAAGGCTATATTTTGAGTGCTTTAGAGGATGACTTATATAATGTCTATAGTGCAATAACAACTTCAAAAGAGTTGTGGAATGCACTTGAGAAGAAATATAAGACAGAAGATGCATGCTTGAAAAAGTTTGTGGTCGCAAAGGTTTTAGACTATAAAATGGTATATAGTAAAACTGTTGGATCACAAGTGCAAGAACTTCAACTTATTCTCCATGATCTGATTGCTGAACATATGGTAGTAAATGAAGCTTTTCAAGTGGCTGCAATGATCGAGATGTTGCCTCCTGCATGGAACGATTTCAAGAATTATCTAAAGCACAAGCGTAAAGAAATGAAGATTGAAGATTTTCTGATTCGGCTCAAGATTGAGGAAGATAACAAAAATGCCGAAAGAAGTCGCGTAAGAGTTCAACAATCATTGGAGTTAATATCATTGAAAAAGCTCATACCAAAGACAAAAAGAGAAAGAAGTCCAACGGGCAGAAGTCAGAACAGGTCAAGAAGAAATTCAAAGGCAACTTTTACAACTGTGGCAAGGCTGGTCATAGGTCTTTTGATTGTCATGCTCCAAAAAAGGGAAAAAACCAAAGGCAAAGGCAAAAGTCAAGCAAGCATCGTGGAAAAGATGGAAGATGCAGATGACTTATGTGCAATGATATTGGAGTGTAGCTTAGTTGAAAATCCCAAGGAGTGGTTTCTTGACTCAAGTGCCACTAGACATATTTGCTCTGGAAACTAAGATTTTGCAACGTACACTCCTGCTGAGTACAATGAAGATTTATTCATGGGAAATACAGCAACTGCAAGGATTGCAGGAACTGGGAAAGTAATGTTGAAACTGATATCCGGCAAGGTGTTGACTTTGAACAATGTTCTGCATGTCCCTACTTTTAGGAAGAATTTAGTGTCTGTTGCACTTCTCGTTAAGAACAGGTTTAAGTGTGTCCTAGTTAGTTATAAAGTTGTAATAAGTAAGAATGAAATGTTCATAGGAAAGGGCTACCTCAATGAGGTTCTTTTCAAACTAAATGTTATGCTTGTTGACAGTGTTAATAAAAATTCTGCTTCTGTTTACTTATTGGAGTTAAGTGATTTATAGCATGCCCATTTGGGACATGTAAATTACAAAGCCTTGTGAAAATTGGTTAATCTAGAAGTATTGCCTGATTTAACTGCGATAAGTCGAAATGCGAAATTTGTGTGGAAAGTAAGTTTGTTGAACATCCTTACAAGTTTGTTGAAACAAAATCCTAAAACTTTAGACTTAATTCACACAGATATATGCGATATGAAGTCAACACCATCTCGTGGTGGGAAAAAGTATTTTATAACTTTTACTGATGACTGCACTCAATTTTGTTATGTATATTTGCTTAATAGTAAGGATGATAAGCAATTGATGCATTTAAGGAATACAAAAATGAAGCGGAAAACCAATTAAATCTAAATCTAAAAAGTATTCAGAGTGATAGGGGTGGAGAATATGAATCTTTTATTGCAGAGATATGTTTGGAATATGGTATTATTCATCAAACTACTGCACCTTATACACCATAGTCAAATGGTTTGGCAGAACGGAAGTAGAAAAAAACATTAAAGGAAATGATGAATGCCTTAATGATCAATTCTGGTTCACCGCGAAACCTGTGGGGGGAAGCCATCCTTACAGCTAATACAATTCTCAATAGAGTATCCCATCAAAAAACACAATCAATTCAATATGAGTTTTGGAAAGAAAGAAAACCCAACTTCAAATATTTCAAAGTGTGGGGGTGTTTAGCCAAGGTAGAGGTTCCTTTACCGAAGAAGGTTAAAATTGGACCCAAAATAATAGATTGTGTCTTTATTGGATATGTTGTGAATAGTAAAGCCTGTCGATTTTTGGTTCACAAATTTGATAATCCTGAGATTCATGTTAATACGATAATCATACAATGCAGAGTTTTTTGAAAACATTTATCCGTATAAAACTGAAAGTGAGTCAACAAGTGAAAGACTTAAATGACCAAGAGAAGAATCAATGGAAAATATTCTAACTAGGGAGGAACCTAGGCCTAGTACTCGGCAAAAAAAATCTGCTTCTTTCGGACCAGATTTTGTAGCACTATTGCCTGAAAATGAGCCTCAAGCATTTAAAACAGCTACGTCTTCATCAGAGTCAACTTATTGGAAAGAAGCAGTCAACAGTGAGATTGAATCAATTTTAAGCAATCACACTTGGGAATTAGCTTAACATCCTCCAGGAAATAAACCTTTAGGATCAAAGTGGATCTTTAAAAGGAAAATGAAACCTGATGGAACGATTTACAAATATAAGGCTAGACTAGTAGTTAAAGGGTACAGACAAAAGGAAGGTTTGGACTACTTTGACAAATACTCTCCAGTAACAAGGATAACATCAATTAGGATGTTAATAGCACTAGCAGTGGTGCATGTTCTTATAATCCACCAAATGGATGTAAAGACAACTTTCTTAAATGGAGAGTTAGAGGAAGAAATTTACATGGAATAAACTGAAGGGTTTATAGTTCTTGGTAAAGAAAAGAAAGAGTGCGCACTTGTGAAGTCACTTTATGGACTCAAGCAAGAACCGAAACAATGACATGCTAAATTTGACAAAACAATGTTGGCAAATGGATTTAAGATTAACGAATATGATAAATGTATTTAAATTTAAAATATTATGAATCATAAAGTCACTGTTTGTTCGTATGTTGATGACATGTTAATGAGTAAAGAAATTGATGATATAAATGCTACTAAGCGCATGTTGTCCAGCAAGTTCGAGATGAAAGACTTAGGAGTTGCTGATTTGATCTTAGGGGTCAGGATTATCAAAACTCCCCAGGTACTAGCATTATCTCAATCTCATTATATTGAAAACGAATTGGGTAAGTTCAAATACTTGAATTTCAATGTTGTCAAAACTCCAATTGATTTAAGTCGTACATTTAAAAAGAATGAAGGTCAAAGTGACTCTCAATTGGAATATGCTAGAGTGTTAGGAAATTTGATGTATATTATGAATTGCACGTGAACAGATATAGCATGTGCTATTTGTAAACTGAGTCGGTACACTATTAATCCGAATCAAACTCACTGGATGGATATGAAACGTGTGTTGGGTCATCTAAAATATACACAACATTATTCTTTGCATTATAATAAATATCCTGCTGTGATTGAAGGACATAATGATGCAAATTGGACCACCGGGTCAAATAATGTAAATCCACAAGTGGTTATGTATTCATACTTGGTGGGGGAGCAGTCTCTTGGAAATTGTCCAAACAGACATGTATTGCTCGCTCCACAATGGAATCTGAATTCATTGCTTTGGATGAGGCTGGTGAAGAAGCGGAACGACTTCGAAATTTACTAGAGGATATCTCATTTTGGCCCAAACCTGTTGGACCAATTTGGATACATTACGATAGTCAAGCAGCAATAGATAGGGCAGGGAGCGTTATGTACAATGGGAAGTCTCGTCATATACGACTTAGACATAACACCGTAAGACAACTGCTCTCTAGTAGAATTATCACAATTGACTATGTAAAGTCAAGCTATAATGTGTCAGATCCACTAACGAAAGGTCTAGTGAGAGAGGCAGTTGAAAGATCATCTACGGGAATGGGTTTACACCTTAGGACAAGTCAGCATGACGGTAACTCTATCTAGCAGACTGGAGATCTCAAGAGCTAGATTCAAGGAGAAAAACAAAGTTGTGGCTGACGGTTCGACATTGTCAATTAACTCAATCCATTCTCTTGATGAAGACAATGTTCAGGAAAAGTTTAAGATTATAAGGTTTGTTAATGAGGTAATAAAGCTTAAAGTTTTTCATGATTTTCTATGTTTGGTATATTTTGACCAAATAGTGTATCTACGAGATGACATGGTTAGAAATCACATATGTGGGGTAAAGTTGAAGCCACTTCAAAGAGAATTTTATGTCAAAAGTCTATTCTGTATACACTCATGAAACCAGGAGGTGTTCATGGCTGAAACGAACACAACCGTAAGAATCATAAACAGTTAATGGTTAGTTGTGTTACATATGGTTGTCTAAGTATACACCAAAGCTCGATGGTTCAAAGATATCACATCTATCGATTTACCGAGTATATCCGACATATGTTTTATACGGAAAGTCCAATGGGAAACCTACTTATCCAGATGCAATTAATCTTTGCTTGTAAAGTACACAATTGTCTGTGCATTCCTATGTTATAACCATTCCCATCAATGTGGGGGATTGTTTGGTATGTAGCAAGAATTGAGGGGAAATAGATGGAAGGATAGGAATTTAAAAAATTGAGAACTTGAAAAGTTGGGAACTTGAAAAGTCCTCTAATGCTTTAATGAAAAAGGCAATTGTCCCTCATCGGGAATGGAAATCAATATAGGAGAGTTTAAATACATAAACACTCCTATTAATTGTTAAAAGGGTTGGAAAAAGAGACCCTCCTCGCGCCGTTGTCGTCGCTCGCTCACTATGGCTTTGGCAAATGATCGATCGAGAGATTATTTTTTGGACAAAATTTAATTTTATTACTTATTTAATTAATTAAATGGCCAAAAAATATTTTCAACTAATTAGTTGATAACAAAAGTTAACCGAAATGTTTTAAACTTTTTAGTTAACCCGACCCGATTCGGATCCGCGCGCGTGACACATTTTAATTTTTGTTATATTAAAAATTTCCGCCATGACTGTTCTAAAAGGTTCCAACTTTCAAGAACAGTCAATACCATTTGAAAGTTTGCAACATTACATTAATGGTCGTGTCAATTCAGAATATGTTCTTCTTTCCTATAAATACCACTCAGTTATCAGAATATTTTCCAATGAATTTTCTATAATAAACTTCTTCTTCTAAACACATTTTTCTACGTGTACTTTCCTGTTGTAGATTGATTTGCTAACAGTAGAGTTTTTGGTATCTAAACTCTACGGATTAAGATCATTTTACCCTGGGAGATTATATTGCAAATCAAACCTCGGATACTAAAGGGGAATATTTTGCTTAAGGGGACACTGTGAGATCAGTGGACTTGATTATCTTCCAAACTAAAAGATTGTTTTAGTTTCTCGTACTTTTGTTTTAACTATTTTCTGAAATAAATTTCTGTTCATCTTGCTTACTTTTTCGATAAATTTCAGTTACTTCGTGTGTCTGAATAATTTATTACAATCAGTAATTTTTGGTTTTAATAACACAGAACCTTTCATTAATGGTCGTGTGAATTCTAAAAGGGTTGAAACCTTTCTGAATATATTCTTCTTGCCTATAAATACCACTTAGTCTTCAAAATATGTTCCAACGAATTTTCTGATCTTCCTTTTTCTTCTAATAGCATTTTTCTTCGTGTACTTTTCTGGTGTGGATTGATTCGTTGACAGTAGAGTTTTTGGTATATACACTCTACTGATTAAGATCATTTTACCCTGGGAGGTTATATTCCAAATCAAACCTCGAATACTAAAGGGGAATAATTTTCTTAAGGGGACATTGTGAGTTCAGTGAACTTGATCTTCTTCCAAACTAAAAGATTGTTTCAGTTTCTGGTACGTTTGTTTTAACTATTTTCTTAAATAAATTTCTGTTCATCTTGCTTACAGATTCGATAAATTTCAGTTACTTCGTGTTTCAGAATAATTTATTACAATTAGTAATTTCTTGTTTTAATAACATATAACGTTTCAATAATGGTCCTATCAGTTTTGAAAGGGTTTCAACCTTTCTGAATGTATTCTTCTTGCCTATAAATACCACTCAGTCTTCATAATATTTTCCAATGAATCTTCGGTTCTTCATTTTCTTCATGTACTTTTGTGTTGTGGATTGATTCTCTTACACTAGAGTTTTTGGTATCTACACTTTACTGATTAAGATCATTTTACCCTGGGAGGTAATATTCCAAATCAAACCTCGGATACTAGAGGGGAATAATTTCCTTAAGGGGACACTGTGAGTCAGTGTACTTGATCTTCTTCCATCTAAAAGATTGTTTCATTTTCTAGTACGTTTTTTAAAACTATTTTCTGAAATAAATTTATTTTCATCTTGCTTACTGATTCGATAAATTTCAGTTACTTCGTGTTTCTGAATAATTTATTACAATCAATAATTTCTGATTTTAATAACATAGATTGGTAAATAGTTATACTTAAAAAGACATCTCTTATTCCTAGTTAAACAAATAGTTTACATAATGAATAAATGAATAATTTTGAAATTTGTTTCATATGAAAAAGTCTTGCAAGAAAATCATGCAACCAACACAAATTTTCAGTAGAGGAAGAGAGTGACATAAAGGTTTCGCGTGCTGAAAAGTTTCTTCAGAGTTGATAAACTATTATCAGAAATTTGAGTCGTGAAGAACTGAAGTACTACAAGACCCCAAGTAATATAAGACAAAAGCAGTTAATCAGGGCATAAGAACTACTCGTACCTTGTCCGGACCACCAACATCCCACACAGTAAATTTGATGTTTTTGTATTCAATAGGCTCCATATTGAAGCCTATAGTTGAAATAGAAAATGGTTCAAATTACACGGCATGATCAAGAAATCTCTCCTAAGAACACACATGATAAGCATTTCATTAAGATTTATAATTTCAGTCCATAACAGCAATCTGCGAAAATTGTTTGATTCTCCAACATATCATCCCCATTCTTAGAGAATACAATATGTCACATATTATCACCTGTAAATGCAAATAATGTCTAATAATTTTTGTAGAGTAAGCCAATCTTTGGAAGTACACCTACCAAATAACAGTAATCAATGGATAGACATAACACATTCTTTTTAGATATACAGATCAATATAAACTTACTTTCAAGTCTCATACCCCATGATGAGTTAAATTTCTAAACATGCAATAGGGAGAATCAAAATAAGTAAAAAAAGTAAAAGTAAAAGAAAACTAAAATAGATTCCACAGAACGAAGCATACCAATGGTTCGGATAGTGGTAACAATTTCACCCAACTTGAGTTTGTATAGAATTGTGGTTTTACCAGCAGCATCGAGACGAACCATAAGAATTCACATTTTTTTCTTTGCAAAGATGCGAGTAAAGAGTTTAGTGAAAGACAACCCCATCTTTGTTAATCTGAAAAATAACATAAATACTTAATATGAGGGATGAAATCGAATACAAAAACTTATTTCGAAAGAAAATTATTAGCATATGAATTATTCCCTCACCAGAACCCTTTCCCCTGTCGTCGTCAATCCTGTATCAATACTTAACGTATCTTCAGTGCTAAAGATACCCACCAACAGCCATCAATTTCTTCTTAATATTATTAATATGGGAAGAAGTAGACAAATTTTATCACTTTTTATTTTTTATGACAATTTTCTTTTAGACGAAAAAGGGAAACCCGCAGCCGCTACCTTTTGAGTGAGCAGGAGGTAAAATCCTACTCTTATGCAATAGCTCTCAAGAGCTTTGGAAATTCAGACATCCAACATGGGATTCCCAAAAACAAAACACTAGCCCACCCCCACCACCTTGAATAGTAATTTTTTTACCACTTTAAACAAGCCATTTATGGTCACAACTTCAGAGGATATCAAGTAATAACAGATATAGTCACATTTAATAAGACATCTCTTATTCCTATATATATATATATATATATATATATATATATATATATATATATATATCCCATAAATTACTATATTCGTAGCTGTTTTTTTCTCGAAAAGATAGTACAACAACAAAAAGCTCAACAATGAAAGCTTACTCTGAGTTTTCAGCCTTTGATACAATTAGTAATTTCATGGAAACACCAAAAAATTCGACAACTCCATTCTTTCTCAACGAATCACCTGACAGTTGTAAGTTTATCAATTTTATTAGAAAACTACTAAATGAAAAAAGAAATCAAGAGGATACATATCTAGTCACCCTTAGTAGATAGTTCAACTTCATTAACATCTGCCAAGACAACCAGCTGTTCAAACTAATCAATTTTCATAACACATAATAATTGCCTTCATTGTGGAATTTTGTCAAACTGATGACCACATCTATATCTGCAAAAATATCATATTGGCCAAAAAATTTAGTATTTAAGTAGTTGCTAGTTGATACTACAAAATAACTAGAAAAAGATCATGGATGAGCAGAATAATCAATTAAGAGAACATTTTCATATCCATAAAATAAAGGATTCCATCTTTAACTTTTCCCTTTACTCTAATCTCTCTAGAATCAGAACAACACTGGCAAACTTGGACTTAACTCCATTTTTTTGTCCCCAAAAATAAGTCTAACTTCATCTGCAAGTTCAACTATTTCCTCTTTTTCACCTTTTAAATTTCAACCCTAAAATATATAGAAATACCATAACTATGTGCACCAAAACTATTGAGAAAAATGAATGTTTAGGATGCACTATGTGCATCAAGGGTCCAAAGTCATTAGAAAAAAATTGAGAAAATAGACAAAGCTTACCAAGGAGGATAGACAAATCTACAGAGAATTGTGAGATGATAGTACAAAAACTTTTAATTAGAAAACCATTTATATCCATCCATAATAATAATGAGAAAATGGGCATGGGGAAGACCCCTTTTTAGAAACTCAATTGTACACATAAAAGCTGCAACCTTTCCAAATATGTTTCTTTTTTGAATATCAGTTTTAACTTCTTCTAATTTTGCTCGGAATACTCTACTAACAAAATCAGGTCTATTTTGAACTTCTTCCGTTGGTTGTAAATGTTCTTGTATTTCAGGTCAAGAAGGATTATAGGTCATTGTTAAAAATATGTCCGATTTTCCAAAATGTTGTACCAAAGCAATGACATCCATATATCTTTGACGCATATCTCTTGAACCTCCTATGAAACTACCAGGAAGAATTTTTGGTCTCCCAATATTGGAAGCATCTCTTTCTCCTTGCCTCAATAAATCAATGATTCCTTGGAAGGCTTCAACTCTAAATAGATTTTGATTAAATAAAATCTAATCTAATCTTTGTGTCTCTAGTTTTATATATTGGTCAACTATGTATTGTTGAAATACCCTTCCAGAATGTAACGTTTCATTTGGTTCTTCATCTCTTATTTGTATTATATGACAATAATATTCACGATAGGAAACATTCTCTCTTTTTCTCAATCCTTTTGATAAAGTTTTAGATTCCATGTCAAGGACTCCATTAATAGAAGTCATGTTCATTACACTTGGTAGTTGCTCATATTCACAGTAAATTTGACTGTTGGAATAATTGTTATGTCTTTTTGATTTTTTTAATACCACAATGCCAACCATTTTGATTATAAGGAAACAACAATGGATATTGCAATGAATCATAATATCCATAATAGTAATTTACCAATTGACTTCTGTTACTGTGAGTGTAAATTCTAATATGTGGTGTGGAAATTTTATCATTAAATGGATCTTCAATACAAATTGCCCCAACTTGGGATTCAGTTGGTAAGTATGTGTTCTTTGGTGTAAATTGGAACTTGAGTGTTCAGGGAAGGAAGATAACAATATGGTTCGCTAGCCTTCTTGAGGAGATACCGAAGAAGTGCTGATTGTAAGGGCGCCAATACTATTTGATTGATGTTCTCCTGTAGTTAAAGTGACTAGTAGGTTTGTAATTTCAAAAGCTTCAACTACAAAATGAGGAAAAAAGTTGTATTAAGAGTAGGTGAGATGAAGCGTCTATCTATAGCTATAGATATTCAGAAGAGACATTTCAAAGCTTCAACTACAAAATGGTGACCAACATAATTTCATTTAATGGTTGAAAGAAAACTTCAAGTATTTTAGATGGTACATTTAAGGAAATATTGATTATATTTGAGGAGAACATAGAGTTGCAACTAATAGTTCATACCTAGCTCAGAAGTGTTTATTTGTAATTGACAAATCATTCAGCTAGCAACAATATACACAAATAATTCATATGTAATCGTATAAAAAATAGAAGAAAGCACAAGATGGAAACCAAACTCTTAGAAGATCAAACAAAAAAAATGCAGAGGAGAAGCAACTCAGGTGAACTGTGAAGATTAGATAACTCCGACCCAATAGGAAAATTTCAGCAATTATTTCTCGTAAGTGAACTATGCTTCTATTTTCTTTCCTGTTCTGATGACCTTTGGTAAGATATCCCTTATAAATTTGAAACTTAACTCGGTAAACTTTATGAAAGATTAGATACTTGAAGACACTATGAATCTCTCCATTAAATTTGTTAACAACTTTTGCTACATAAAAGTTCCTAATCTGTCCATTATTAAAATTTGACTATGAATTTGGGTACATATAGTTCATGTAAATAACTTTTAGTAGTTTCACATTATACGTGTCCATTATGTTTGATCATATACGTGAAAACTACTAACACAATTTTGTTGCCTTTATTTTACAATAGATTTACCTAAATATGGTTAGCTACCCTTCTTGAGGAGTTAACGAAGAAGTGAAATTGTCAGGGCGCCAGTACTATTAATTGATGCTCTCCTATAGTTAAAGTAACTGATAGGTTTGTGGCATCGGAAGCTTCAACTACAAAATTAGGAAAATAGCTCTAGTATGAGTAGGTGAGCTGAAGCGTCTAACTATAGCTATAGATATTCAGAAGACACATTTCACAGAAGGAAGATAGGAATATGCTTAGCTAACATTCGTGAGGAGATAATGAAGAACTGATTATTCTAAGAGCACCACTAGTATTTGATTGATGAAGGAATTTTTGTCTTTTTGACTCAGCCCTTTGGATAAAAATAATTGTTTTCTCTCTGGTGACATTTGTGCATATCTGGTACGATGACGCAAATTTCTGTCAGAAGTTCTCGCTTGGGCAGATACATTATTTCTATTTTCTTCCATTCTTGTTTCAAGTAGTTCATGATTTGTTAAACTAATTAACAATTTAATCCAATGTGGAAAAAATACATACCTAAATGGAAAAAAGGGCATAGAATTGAGAAATATCAATGCAACATTCACGAAAATAATAATTAGAATGAGAATAAGACAAACAAGCACAACTATTTAACTAATTACATTAGTTTTGCACAGTCAAATGCTGAGATATCGATAATCTTAAAATCTATCTACAACTAAAGCATTGAAAGGGAAAGAAGTTTGAACATAAAAGCAAATTATTTGAAGATAAGAAGCAAATTATCCTTAAAATGCACGACTATTATACAAACACCTTTCTTCCCCCTAAAATCCTAAGCACAAATCTTTAAACAAATATTTTCTTCAAATTAAAATCTATAGGCACCCATGTCTTAACTAATGTTATTAAAAATTGGCTCAAGGTCAGACATAAAGCCAACCAATTTGTGTCCGCTATGTCAAGTTTTCTACAAGTTTGCCCAAATCATTTTCACTTTCAAATAAACTCTCTAATTTCTATTACTTGGACATCATATATAGGAAGAGAAATTGGAGAAAAGTGAGAAGGAAAACTTACTGTAGCTAACAATGCACCAACAATGAAGATAAATTTGAGGAGAGAGGAAGATTAATGGAGATGAATATGGCTGATTGTTGATGAGAGAGAAGTGTCAGAGCAAATGTTGAGTAAAAAATGGAAGATCTAAAGTCGATAAACAACAAACGTACATATCCTAAGATTTAATAGCAAAATTACCAATATGACCTTGTTCATCCTCTAGAAATCCCTTCAATTTAATGGCAAAATTACATAATTGTCTTCCACTATGTTTATATGATTTGATGGTCTATATGGGTCATTTACTTCCATTATGTTTTATTAGTACCAATATCTGAAATTCTATTTGTTGGCATTTTTCAATTAGGCAACCTATGAACAATAGCTTTTATTGAAGTTACCTTCCAAACTTAAAAAAGGCAGTGCTGAAACAATTGAGCAATCAATTTGTTTGATTTTTCAAGTTTCATCCTTACTATAAGAGGGAAGACCAAAACACATAGTAAAACATCTTCCTCAATATATTTATATTACTAAGCAAATGGTTAGAAATTATTGGTTGACAACAAAAAGCATGAATAAGGTGCTATTCAAGGTAAAAGGGATGCCAACAGCTTATAATAAAAATCAAGATATATGACAGTGTAGCTATGTGGAACAATACACCCTCTGTGTAATCCTATAGGTTCATCAATTGTGTGACAAATGTTTAAAGGAATCTCCTTTAAGTTTGTTAGGTATCTCGTATATTGTATTTACCAACTATTATAGTCAACCATATAAGATATATCACCCAAAAAATGTATTAATTGTTTAATATCTTCAAGCACGCCATTAGATGCTTTTAAGTCTTAATACATTTTTCTCTATGAGTTTTAGCTTTAATGCCATACATATAGTAATCACTTTTTTGACTGTATAAATAATGTAGGAGCTTCAAGTTACTTTTGGGAAGAAAGTAAAGAAACAAAATGATGACAATATGGTAAAATATTTCATATGAGAGATAGATTTCAGAAATTGTAAAGGAGAGGTGACGGAGAGTTATGAATCAACTAAGCTGTGACGGAGACTACAACATGTTTACTTGCGTTGTTAACTTTGTTATTAAGATAAACGCTATATCAACATTTTCAACAAATGTTATTACAAGCGAATTATCTGTAGAAACATATGATCAAATGTTGCTACATATAATCATGTGTAGCAACATATAGTTTTAAATAATGATTACGTGAGGAGTGTGCTTTTAGATATATTAGATGTGGCAAGATATTAAACAAATGTTGCTACAGGCGAATCAGTTGTAGCAACATATTACTCAAACATTTGATACATATAATCATCTATCCCAATATACTTTTAGATAATGATTACGTGGGAGTATGATATTAGATATACCTTTTGTTTAATATTTACAACTCTTCAGTTCACTCTGTCGAAACGTCAAGTCTTGCAACATTTTAAAATTGTTGGCCTTTATAAGAACACAAGAAGGGAGCGATAAGTCAAAAATTATCTTCTCTTCTTATTCGTTTTCAAAAATGGTTTCAAATAGAAAAAACTTCTTCGAATTCCTCCTGACTGAATTAGTAATTCTTATCGTTGAAAGGGTTGCTTCATAATCTCTAGAAGATCTAGTTAGTGTTAAATTATGTTATAGGTTCCTCAATTAAGTTGGTAATGAACGTTCTAATTTAACTATTTTTTAATTATTTTTTTCACCTTGCATCAATTTTTTTTGTAATCTTAATGTGTTATTTCTTTTATAGTTTGATTTTGTTCAGTCGTAATTATCCAACTGCACTGAGAATGGTTAAAAAAGCAGCAGAAGGTGGCCACCGTGGTGCAGAGTATGTGCTTGTCATAATTTCAATTTTTGAAGGCGGTATTTCCATGAGATAAGGCTTGATGTACATTAACATTGTTATTAAGATACGCGTATAGGATTTAATTATTCCCCTTGAAGACACTCCATAATGGATATTACTCATTCATCTGAAATTAGGAATGTGTTTTCAATGCTCTTGTAGAGAGTAAGTGACCTCAGACAGGGAAGTGGAAGTGTAGAAGAGCAAGATGATTTTATTTAGACCATACATTTGTTTAAATCAAATTTATTAATGAACGATAAGAAAGAAATAATTTCAAATGGAACTCATTAATCCATCTTTGTATTATCAGAAAAACATAAAACGTAAAAAAGAAACCTCCAAAAATACAAATTATAACATTTGAGTAGTTAACTATCTATTATATTAAAGGTAATTGTCCATCTTCACAAGATGCACACACGAAAGAAGCATGAATAAATTTCTCATTTCCTATAGAGTTTTCTATAAGCAAGATATGAATAGATTTGCAAACCTATCTAAAAATATTAGCAATTTAATTCTAGTGGATATATTGTAACAACCCTAAAAATGGATACACTTATTGATGCTTAATATGTCGAGAATGCCTATAATTAGACTAGGATTCACACATATTGATGACAGTAGAATTAGACCTTAGAACCCTTGCTAGAGCTAAACCAACTAAGTATGGGAGTTAGTTGAGCTAGAGAAGGTTGATTCCAACCATGTAGGTCTCTTGAATACGAAAATTTACTCGAAGAAGTCTTTACTGAACTTAAAAAGAGAAAATCTTATGTTTGAAGGGTCTAGGGGTAAAATAGTCTTTTTCCTGGTAAGGGTAGTATCGTAATTATCCTACATATATAAATTAACTATTTATTTAATAAGGTGGAGGGGCAAATTGGGGAGAGAGAGACGAAATGGAGCTCTTGAAGTTAAGTCTTGCTCCACCCAGGGTCGAACCTAGGTGGGAGCAATGATTTAATATGATATTTTTTATTGGTGAATTAATTTTATAAACTAATAACTAATAACTGATTTAAAAAAGGAAAATCATATTTTTACTATTAATTATTATTTATTTATTAATTAATATGTTTTTATGACTAAGTCTCCTAGTTGACTAAGTCTAAACTACTTCACCTCTTTTAACTCTCTCTCACGCTCATCTCTCTCACGTTCTCTCCACTCTTTGACGTTCTCTCTGCTAGAAAAATACAAGAACAGATCAGCAATTAATCTTTCTTAACACTTAAAAAACTTTCACGTTAAAAAATTTATTCAAACATAGCATAAAAGTTAGGCAAAGAGAGGAGTCTTTCCGTCAAAAACTTTGTGTTAAAAACATGGCTTAGGCGTGAGTTTTGGAGAGGTTCTGGGAAGAAACTTCAAGGTTTGAGCGTCAAAATAAGGTATGATTGCAGGTAGCTAAGTGTGAAATATGATATTCTTTGTGATTTTGTGTTTGGAAATAGAATGCATGTTCAATGATGTCAACTGAAAATGATGTGGTGAAATATGTAAATGTTTGGTGTATTTGTTATCCGTTTTGAAGTCTTAAAATGGTTAGTTTGATGGCTGAAATTAACGTGCATAAAATGTGTAATTTATGATGTTCATATAAGGTACATGTGACTGATTTTAAATTGGAAGTTGCAGCTAAAATAACAATGAATCTACACCTTAGAACGTGGTAAACGAATCCATGAAATACACTCGAAATAGGTGTTGAATGATCCATAACTATTCCTAAGTTTTCAAGTGGTAATATTGGTGAAAATAAGGTAAGAAAATGACTAATTTTCCAGCAAAAACAAGAAGTTTCGTTTAGGCTGAAGTATAGAGGAGTAATCTGGAAATTTAACTTGTTTTAAAAGGGATGAGGCCACCAGGATTCGAACTTGTGACCTCACCCTTGTGAAAAAAAGGAAAAAAAGGGTTGGGGGGATTTGAAATGGAGTGTACAGGCGAGTAAGGATAATGCAAAAATTGAAATAAATAATATGGGAGGCGTGGGAATCAAACTTATGATCTTTAAGAAACAAATGAAGGGAAAGAAAAATAAAATAAAGGAAGTGTGAGGCGTGGGAATCGAACCCACGACCTCAAGGCTGGAAAGGGGAAAGGGGTGAAATAAATAAGAAAATAAAGTGAGGTTGTGGGGGATCGATCCCACAACCTCACTGCCAAACGCATGGTAAGTCATTTTTTTAAGTAAAAAATAAAATAAGGAGGTTGTGGGGGTTCGAACCCAGAACCTCCCTGTTAGTAGCGAAACAAAAAGTGTATAAAGAGAGGCTGTGGGGGTTTGATCCCACAATCTCTTAGTCTAGGTGAATTGGGCAACACAATTTTAAATGAAAAATAAAAAGGGGTTGTGGGGGTTCGATCCCACAACCCTTCGGCCAAATAAGAGGAGAATCAAAGGAAAAAAAACAAAGATAAAATGTTGATGTTTGGGCTCGATCTTGGGTCCCAATGTAATGAAGACTAAAAATAAAGTCAAGGAAAAATGTAAGTCCCAATGTATTCGAACTTGGGTTTCCTTTCCAAAATTTCCGTATTGATACATCAATAATATGTGAATGTAATGTTAAAGAATAACATCACCTACTTAGATCCAAATTGAAATCTTGGCATACATACAAGATATATAAGTCTTGTACTACATAATCTTACGAATATATGAGTCACTTAATTAACTATGAATGAAGCCTCATGGCTTGTATATATGGACCCATAAATCAAGCATACAATTAAAAATAAGTGAACCTAAGATGTATGTAATGAAATAACGAAACCCTAGAAGGGTAAAGTATGAGTGTAAGATATAATAAATGTACAAGTTCATTGGCATATTATGAAATGAATAATGAAATGATGAAATGAACAATGAAATGATGAAACCCTAAAAGGGTTAAGTAAGAGTTTGAAACACACTAAATGGCCAAGCGCATTGGCATATGATGAAATGAACATTCACGTAAACAGAGGTGAGTAATTATGAAGAGCAAATGTGCTAATGTTAATGAATGTGGTGACAACATGATACGAGGCTAATGTAAAAAATGGGAGCAATCTAAAATGAGACTAAGTAAATGTTACCAGAACGTACTCACCTATGAGAGTGTTAAGTTAATGAAGAGACCAATTTATATGAACACTCTGATGACAATATTAATGTTAATGCATACTTAATAGTTATGATAAGATGAGAAATCATTTATTGAGCTATGATGTCCTCATACTAGAAGACAACTTCCATGACGTATGAGTTAA